GGAATGCCTTTTTGAGGGTCTCAAAGGCTTTCTGTTGGTCAGATCCCCAGGTCCAGGCGACGTCCTTCTGGGTGAGAGCGACCAGCGGTTGCGCTTTGTCCAAGAAGCCTTTGATAAACCGGCAGTAAAAGTTTCCAAATCCAACAAAGGCGCGTACTTGCCTGAGGTTGGACGGCACCGGCCAATCTGCAATGCCAGCTAGTTTGACGGGGTCCATTGCGATTTCTCCTGGGCGGATGATCATGCCGAGGAATTCGACTTCGGTGACGTTGAAGGCACATTTCTCCGGTTTGAGGTAGAGGTCGTGTTGTCGAAGTCGTTCGATAACACGTCGTGTTCGTTCTTCGTGTTCTGCCTTGTCCTGGGAAAAGATCAGGATGTCGTCCATGTAAATGCAAAGCCAGCCTTCTTGAAGCATGTCTGCGAATATTGTGTTCATCATCCGCTGGAACGTAGCGGGAGAATTACACAGCCCAAAGAACATCACCATTGGTTCGTACAGCTGCGGCGGTTTGCCATCAGTTCCGGGTACGATGAATGCTGCCTTCCATTCATCTCCTTTTTTGATTCGGACATTGTTGTATCCGGCGCGGAGATCCATCTTCGTGAACATCTTGGCGTGCTTCAACTTGTCCAGGAGGTCTGATATAAGCGGAAGCGGGTATCGATCCTTGACCATGTTCTCGTTGAGCAGCCGGTAGTCTTGGCAGGGGCGTAGTGAACCATCCTTTTTACCAACAAAGAAGAATGGACTCGCCAACGGGGATTTGGAAGGGCGAATGTACCCTTTACTCAGGTTCTCCTCGAGGAATTTGTCGAGTTCCTTTCGTTGCTGCGGGTTGAGCGGATAGACCTGTTGCTTCATGTCCGCGAAGCCCTCCTTGAGGTTGATTTCGTGGTCGTATTCGGTGTGGTCTGGAAGTCGCGCAGCCGTGGCTTTGTCGAAAACGGGGAGCAGATCGTGTAGGTAGGATGGTACCATTTGTGGTAGTGTTCTTTCTGTCTTGCCTTGGGCGTTCGATGCTGCCAGTTCGGTGGAAGTGGTGACGCGCCTAATGTCGTGGTGGATTTTCCAGATCATACCGTTGTGAAGTCGTTTGTAGCCAGATGAAAGTTCAGGGAGTCGCTCCTTGAGCGGAGCGTTCCTTACGGCCAGGGATTCCTGTTTCTCGTACTTGGTGATCATCGGTGCTCCAGATAAGTAGGAAATGATGAACTCATCATCGTCGATGTCCTCCGCTTGTTCCTTGATGGACGCAATACCCATTGACCCAAACCCATCCTCCCCGCGTTCAGTTTCGTCAATGCAGTCGGTTATAGTTACTGGTGGGGTGCTTATCCTTTCAAGGATGAGCTGAGCGACTCGGTCGCCGACTTTGACGGTGAATGGGAGGTCAGAGTTGTTGACCAGTAGGACTGAGATCTTGCCTCGGTAATCGGAGTTGATTACTCCAGCAGCGACATCGATTTCCTTTAGTGCTAGGCCGGATCGAGGTGCGATTCTTCCGTAGTATCCTTCGGGGATAGCCATGATAAGGTCAGTGCCGACCAGGCCTCGTCGTCGGGCAGGGATGATGAGTTGATGCGCAGCAGAGATGTCATATCCTGCTGCGCCGCTAGTTTTTCGTTCGGGGAGGGTTGCGTGTTCCGAGGTGGGGATGACGACGAATTCATCCTTCGTTGGTTCTGGGAGTGGGGTAGTTACGGCCTTCTTTAGTTCTAGCCGAGCCACTCGCCTTTGGTACAGGTCCATCTTCCAGGCCCTGGTCTCGTCTTTTGTCCACCGGTGATTCAGCTCCACTCGTCCGGTTTTCCAGTCTATCTTGGGGTTCTCAAGTTTGAGCCAAGTGTGGCCGAAGATGATGTCTTCCTTGCCGATGCTGGCGACATAGGCTTTGACGAATCGGGGTTCTCCGCTTATTTTGTAGGATAAGAGAGCTCTTCGCGTGATGAGTGCTTCTTTGTTCGGTGTTCCATCCACGTTGAAGACGGGGATGGGTCGGGGAAGAGGTTCTGTCCAAAGTCGATGTTCTCGGACGAATCTCGGGCTGATGAAGATTCCAGTTGCGCTGCTATCGATGAAAGCGCGCGCCTCGACGTCTTTTCGTCCCACAGTAATCGGAATGTGCAGAGCGTGTTCATTTCGGACTACTAGAATTACACGGGACAGTGAAATGGATACGGGCAGTGGTTGCGTCGGCTCACCCTGCCCCTTCAAAAATCCTCCATCGTAAGTTCTTCGTACAGCTCCCGCTTCTCGTCGGCGGAGAGTGCCTTAATTCTGGCACGGAAATCGTCCTTCCCAGATCCTCCCGGGTTCGGCCTTCCACCCCCTTGTCGTGCGGCCGCTTTCTTGCGGCAATCCTTGGCGCTGTGGCCCTTGATGTGGCAGTAGAAGCACAGGTTTCCGTCCCTGTGGAGCTTCCAATCAGCCTCATTGAGAACGGCTCCTAGTTCCCACTTCCTTCCTCCCGATGTGGAGGCAAAGGTTGCCGCGACTGCAGCGGCGTCGATATCCATTGGCTCGCCATAGTCCCTGGTGTCTGTGACAGTGAGGGCCCCTTGTTCGGCGGCGTCGGCATTTCGGACTTCGTCGTACCAGGCTTTCATGGTGCTGGGTCGGTCTCTGGCGACCCTGGTTGCGAGAGAGACATAGAGCTCCTTTGGAAGTCCTTTGACGAAGTTGGCGTGGAGAGTGTGGTAGTCGTTCTCGGTGCAGTTGACGCCATTGACTTCGGCGTCCTTGAGCTGGGCTTTCGATGCTAGCTGCTCGAAGCGGGTGACGTAGTTTCCAAGGGAGAGCGCCGTCTTCTTGTTCTTCTGTTGTTCGGGCAGTTTCATCAGGATTTGGTGCGCCTTGATTCGCGTTCCGTGCTCAGGAAACACTTCCTCAAGGGCGGTGGCGAAGGCCGCCCAATCGGGATAGACCTGGACTCCCCCTGCCGACTTCTCGTAGTATGCGTCTGCCCATGTCTTCCCTAGGTCCTTCCTCATCAACGCTACAGTGAAGGCGATCTTTGCTTCATCACTAAGTCTGGTGTTGTTGGTGGCGACGAAGTAGGAGAGGACACATTGGATGAAGCGTCTGAGGTCCTCCGCCTTTCCGCTGAAAGGTTCGGGAGCGGGGATGTCAAGGCGAAGGGGTCGGTTGGCAGTTGACTGTTGGGATTGGTATGCCGCAAGGGCGACAGCGATGCGCTGATCGATGTCTGCTTGAGTGAACGTTGCCATAGGGACTTCAACCGGTGCGTTGGTTGGTGCA